AAAAAAAAAAAAAAAAAAAAACGGTACTAGCTATTACCAATCTAGGTTTTTTCGCATCGCACAATGGCGATTATCATCGCGAAATGTAATGTTATTCCGTATTATTGCCAGTTATTATTGTATGTCGTTGTTGCCGGTCATTATTATTGTTGCGTCTCACGAGAAAATGCGTCTCCCGTTATAAACGCCCTGGATGTTCACACCAACGACGTCAACGACGGCGATGACCGCGCGACGTTTGCCATATAATATTACCAGGTGAACGTCCTTACCCTTGGATGTGTATTCATGTGTTTAATGATGTATGTGTGTGTGTGTGAAACAGCTTCCCGGGCGGCTAAGTTCGTTGGCCCAACGGACCTCCGGAGCCGTTGGCCTCTAAACGGCGGTGGCTGCCACGCCTATATTATTATCATTATAATATATTATTATTATACCCATCCGAAGTGCACATTTTAACGCAGAATTATACAAAACGTTTTTACGAATTTATATATTTTTTTTAACAATGGAACAAAATAAAACATTTTTTATGTCATCGCCGKTTTTCCTTCCCCTGTTGTGTTAATAATAATACACGTGTATGATAAATGCATAATAAAAGAGGGAGTTTGCGGTGACGGCGGTGTCACGTGTCCCTCAAGGACGTGCGTTTTGGAGGTTATGTACATGAACACCAAAAGTGGGCGCGTGTAGGAGAGGACCGCGAGAGCGGGGCAGAGTGACGGCGACCGTGGATCGATCCTACGCGCGCACTACAACGCGGGCCTGACCCTTTCAGGATAGAGCTCAGGGACCACACGTCGAGCCCCGCGCATTCAGAAAGTGGAATCGGGGTATAACAAGGAGAGGGCGGCGCGGACGAAGCTGTTTTTGCGCTCTGCGGATCCCGCCWGTCCCCTTTACTCCGGGCCGAATCGATAACCACGCTCCGCCGTCCACCACAGCGGAGGTGTTACCCGGGGGTAGGGCGGACGGCCGGGGTGGGCCCAAAGGCCAAAAGTTCGAGTTCAAAAGTTCGTATCCCTCGCGTTTTCAATAGGTCACGGAGAAAAATACCCATTGCTGCTGCTRCCGCTCTCACCGCCTGTCGGCTTAGTAGTTAAATGTATAAACATCTAACCGCGGTGTTCCTACTATTTAGCAAGCAGATCGTGTTCGGCGTGCTGTATGCGTACGCGCACGCGCGGTCCTCTTGTGCGTGATGGATTCGTGACAGGCCGCAGCACAGCAGAACACACCCCTCCGCGTGCCATTTTTTCGTCCGAACTGTAAACCTATATTATACGTTTTAAACGCCCGCATTTCTCGATTCCGACTGAGATGCGTTTACGAACCCCTGATCGACCTGACGGTCGTCGACCTCCTATCTTTCTCTGTATCTCCCCCAAAACGTATTGCACAATACGGCCACCCAAACAAATTCATCTCCGAGTGAATTTATTTCAACATATTTTGTTTATTATCGAATKTTATTAATGTATAATGATAAATATTATCATTTATATCATTTTTACGAATCGTCGTCGGCCGCGGAGGAGGAGGTGGTGGTGTCCGTTAACGACAGGAGTAGTAGTCGTAGTAGTCGTAGTAGTAATATTAATAGTAATATTAGTTGTAGTAGTTGTAGTACTACTATACGTAGTATTAGCAGTGGTAGTAGGCACATGATATGACATATCCGATACAAGACGAATACAATAATATGTCTTTCCGGTACCCCTTCTACCCGTCCGGATAGCATACAATATCGCCCAAGCAAGGTCAACGGTAGCGTCTCGTCGCCRTCGTCGTCGTCGTCGTGTGCGTTTAGAGTACATTGGCCTTGGAGCGTCGGACCCGATTATGTGCGTATGAACGCGTGCGTGCGTGCCTGTGTGTGTGTGTGTGTGTGTGTTTGATGGCCCGAAAGAAAAAGCGCCTGCTACGATGAGGGGGTGGGGCCGATGACCGGCGCTCTTTTCTTCACCGCTCGGTCGACGGCGGCGGCGGGTGCGCTGTGTTACCTCTCCGCTCGTCTGTTCGCTGTTCACTCTCGTTCTGCGGCGGAGGATGACCCCAACTACTGCTCGGAGCCGTCAAGGTCGCTCCGGTGTTTTTCGGGCCCTTTATGCCAGCAGGCGGTGGCGTACTCACCGCAGCTGCCGCCCACCGCCCTCACTTCCACCGACGACCCGAACGCGAGCGCGTCGCTATCTAAATTGATTTAACGCCACAATGGCTCCTCGGCTCGCACAAATAACTCTAAAATTATGTGTTTTTTTTTTTTGCGTTATTACAATCGTTTATAGTTAATGGTTTGCGTGCGATCTGCCGAGKTGACTGTACGTCAATAATGCGTAGGTACTGCACGTTTCGATCACACACATTTCCGATGACCGCAAACGATTATAATTATTTCACCGAAACGCCCAAAACTATGTATTTCGTTGCGTTTTATTGCGCCTATATAATACAATCCAACGCTCTTTGTCAGTACCTACCTTCTTTATGCCCAAATTTTACGCGCATAACACGCACTCCTTAGTACTTTTTTTTTATATTATAGTTTTCGAATACGCTCAAATGTTGGAATCTCTGCCGATATACTCATATTATATGGATTGGATTGCGCTTATCCTGTGATACATTGATACAGCAGTTATATAACCGTATATATAATATTATTTGAAACATACGACACAACGCTACGCAATAGTATTACCCATTGAACAATGTCGCGTCTCCGCGGCGATTGATACGTTTAATTCGCATTATATTTTCAACAAAGTTTCGAAATTGGAATGACATTTCTGCGAAAACCGACAGTGTGATTTTGTAGTTTGAAAATACTCGTAATAAAAATATATTGGGAATATTATTTCACACATTAGTACAATATGYTTATACCTCAGCACTATTAAATTTGGGTCAAGGCATCAAATTCAAATGTTTTATTGATATTATTATGAAACTACCAGGCTGCAGCCTGTAATAGATTACAATGATTGTTGTTTAGCCGTCTCTGTTAAATAAACTAATCTGAATTATTATTGGCAATAAGCAAAATATATTTTTATTTTTATCGATTGTTTTATGGCTAACATCRTTGGCCGCTATTTTTTCTCCGTAWTATAACCTACCTATTTGATTATTATTATTATTTTTGTATATATAAATACCTATACTAATATTACCTATATTAATTTCTGTTTTTAGGTGAAAGTTGTTAAGTTTAGTTATATGTGGACCATTAACAACTTCAGCTTTTGTCGAGAAGAAATGGGCGAAGTATTAAAATCGTCTACATTCTCCGCCGGAATAAACGACAAACTGAAATGGTAAATATTGGTATATTTATATTTTCTATACGGCTGTTATTTTCCTTATGTTTCCAAATGAATTACTGGTGCTCATGTAATATCGTGTTAAATTTAGGTGTTTGCGAGTGAATCCTAAAGGCCTAGACGAGGAAAGCAAAGACTATTTGTCTTTGTATTTACTACTAGTCTCGTGCAACAAGACTGAGGTTAGAGCAAAATTCAAATTCTCAATTTTAAATGCCAAACGTGAAGAAACTAAGGCTATGGGTAATTAATGCATATTTCACGCATATAATAACCTTGTCTTGATTATATATTTGTTTATTTATTTTTATAGAGAGTCAAAGGGCCTATAGATTCGTTCAAGGAAAGGATTGGGGGTTCAAAAAATTTATTAGACGTGATTTTCTATTAGACGAAGCTAATGGTCTTCTACCCGATGATAAACTTACCATATTTTGCGAGGTAATTTATATTTTCAAAAACATTTTTTTACCGTTGTTTGTTTAAATGTATACCTATTATGATTTATGGTTATTGATGATAAATTTAAACTACGATCGTTGTGAAGTGAAAAATTAAAACTTGGCAAAGTTTTAATTTAATAGAAAGTGGCACGAATAATGACTTGACAGATGGCTCGTTTGCAGGTAAGCGTTGTAGCTGATAGTGTCAACATATCCGGTCAGTCAAATGCGGTCCAATTTAAAGTACCTGAATGCCGTCTGCCCGACGATCTAGGAAATTTATTCGAAATACAAAAATTTAGTGATGTAACGCTTTCGGTTAGCGGGCGAGAATTCCAAGCACACAAAGCTATACTTGCCGGTAATTATCATGATTGCATTGCCTGCAGTTTACGTTAACCGCGTAAATCGTGCAATCCATATGCAATTACGCAATAATTAATAAATGACAAAAAACCCTAACGTTGCTTGATTCATATGTAGCGAGAAGTCCCGTGTTCGCCGCCATGTTTGAACACGAGATGGAAGAACGCAAGCAAAACCGTGTCGCTATTACCGACGTAGATCACGAAGTCCTCAGAGAAATGCTTCGGTTTATCTACACCGGTCGAGCAGCGAATTTAGAGAGAATGGCGGACGATTTGTTAGCGGCAGCCGACAAGGTTTGTTCTTTTGGTCATAAATACTATAATATATATTTTTCAAACTGCTTTTACATTGTTTTAATAACTTGTTGTTGTTCTGGTCACGTTCAGTACGCTCTAGAGAGGCTGAAAGTCATGTGCGAAGAAGCGCTGTGCAACAATCTGTCGATCGACAACGCGGCAGATATATTGATATTGGCCGATCTGCACAGTGCCGACCAACTGAAAGTACAAACAATCGAGTTTATTAACACGTGAGTATACATTATATTTATACATAATATAGTTTACTGTTTATTACTATGCCATAATTATACTAAAATAATACTTGGTGTACAATAAACATGCATATTTTTTAATAATAAATTATAAAGTAAAGCAGCATATATTATTAATTTATTGTAATAACGCAAAAATAAAATAAAATAAATTAATATAATATAAATAAAATTCTRWWATAAATAATAATATAACTAAAATATTTAAGTTAATACAACTATTATATAACTAAGGCTCCTGCCAATAGTTATATATTACTAGTAGAAGATATGAGGATATTAGAAATAAAAATGGTGTTTGGTTGATTTATTGAGTTACACTAAAGGATCTGTATTGTTCTCTACT